TCAATGTATTTCATCTGATTAGAAATCCAGGAGACAACCTCATTTACATTCAGTGTATCACTAAATCCACTAGAGAAAACTATCCAAGAACTTCCCTACTCCATATCTCAGTATCTATTTCAGTCTGTTCTTAATTTATCATCTGGTTTCCTGAAGATTTATAATCACATACATAGATGTGTTGCTGCCAGTCTTGCTCATTTACAATTTCTTACACAATGTATCCAGATGGATCTTTTAAAAAATCTATTTCTGATATGAATAAGCTTTTGCTTAAAAACCTTTAGATAATTCTTCATTGCTTCAAACACAGTAACAACAAAGTCTCTAATGGAGATGTTACTGGGCCCGCTCGAGCAAATCGACGATCAACGGGAGGGCCTTTACTTTTATCTTCAAGATAAAGTATTAACTCTTTAACATCATAAATATATATATATATATACATATATACATATATGGGGCTGGAGCGATAGCACAGCGGGTAGGGCGTTCGCCTTACAAGCGGCCAACATGGCCGACCCGAGTTCGATTCCTCCGCCCCTCTCGGAGAGCCTGGCAAGCTACCGAGAGTATTCGATATGCCAGACACAGTAACAACAAAGTCTCCAATGGAGACGTTACTGGGCCCGCTCGAGCAAATCGACAATCAACAGGAGGCCCTTTACCTTTTATACATATATATGTATATATATGTCACTGTCACTGTCACTGTCACTGTCCTCCCGTTGTTCATCGATTTGCTCGAGCAGGCACCAGTAATGTCTCCATTGTGAGACTTGTTACTGTTTTTGGCATATTGAATATGTCATGGGTAGTTTGTCAGGCTATATAAACATTTTATATATGTTTATATATGGACTGGAGCGATAGCACAGTGGCAAGGCGTTTGCCTTGCATGCAGCCAACATGGCCGACCCGAGTTCGATTCCTCTGCCCCTCTCGGAGAGCCCGGCAAGCTACCGAGAGTATCTCGCCTGCATGGCAGTGCCTGGCAAGCTCCCTGTGACGTATTCGATATGCCAAACACAGTAACAACAAAGTCTCCAATGGAGACGTTACTGGGCCCGCTCGAGCAAATCGATGAACAATGGGAGGGCAGTGATATAAACTTTTTTATTTATTTTGAGGGGGGTCACATCCAGCATAAGTAAGGTCAAGTGCATGCTCCTGACTTTGTGATTGGGGATCACTCCTGAAGGTTTCAAGGGACCATAAAATGTTCTGGGGACCGAACCCGGGTTGACTGCATGCAAAGCAAGTACCCTACCTGCTATACTAATGTTCCGACCTCAGATCTAAACATTTTATGACTTAGTCTTATCTCTTTTCACTAAACCATTATACTTTATGTTCTCCTTATACAGATTTTGCCATTATAACTAATAATAGTTAACATCTACCGACATTCCTTAGCTAGAAATTATGCTGAATGTTTTATATCAATATTTTCCAAGCCTATGATCCATGCCATGTAAGACCCTTGCTAATAATAGAATTCCTAGTGCTCATTCCAGACTTACTGAGTCATTCTCTTCAGGGAAGAAGTTTGAAATTTGTATTATAAAAGTACAAAACATTGTGTTGACACTTTGTGACTCATGCAAATTATTGCTTAAAACTGCTTTTTATATAAACTTGCATTAAATTCTTGCTGAAATTTGATGAATATAAAAAATTGATTCTATTTATAAATAGAAAAACAGAGGATTACAGAAAAAAGCAATTTGTTTTAAAAATGACATAGTTACTGTTTGTTTTCACTACAGTTTGAGTATAGGTATTCAGTGCTATAACTAATACCATTGCCTTGATCTTTCACCTGTAGATAAACATGTGCTATGTTCACTTTCCATTTTTTTCTGTCTTTGCAATTGAAGTTATATTTTCATTTTTCCTGGAAAAATAATATTATTCCTCCTTTAACAGACCAAAACTGTTATTACCCCCTTTAGCCTTACTTGATTTCCTTCCTCTGAACAAACAATGCTGTTAATACATCATCAAATATTTTTTTTCTTGTTTCCCTATCAGACTATAAGCAAATAAATTCTAGGCGCTTCTAAAATCATTAGTTCAGTGCCTATATATATCAAATATGTGTTAAATATACACTAACTAAATAAAACACTTCTATCTTAAAAAGTTCCTAAAGTTTGCATTCTGTGAGTGAATGAATCTAGGATCACTCCAGAAAATTATTTTAGATATTGAATGCTGCCTCTTAGAATCAGGCCATATCCCTATTGAAAACCCATTTTCATTCTAGGAGTGTTTTAGAAAAGAGAAGATTGAGAAAGCAATTCTCTTTATTTAATATTCAAAAGAATTAAATGTGGGTTTGGGATATGGCTCCATAGAATATGCACCTTGCATTATAGGAAGCCCTGGGTTTTCTATCTGGTACTGTAGAGGGCTGTAGGGTGTGAGAGGAAGGTCAGTGGTTGGAAGTTTGCCACAAGAGTGAGGTCACAGGTAAAGGGATGTATGTGATAACCTTTCATTATCGTATTGCAAACCATAAGGTCCAAAAGGAAAGAGAGACAGAGAGTGAGAGTGAGAGAGAAAGAGCGAGTGAGAAAGATGTAGGGAGAAGAGATAGAAAGACAGAAGAGAGAAGAGAGGAGAGAGAGGGAGAGGGCGAGGAAGAGAGGGAGGAAGAGGGAGAGAGGGGGGAGAGGGAGAGAGGGGGGAGAGGGAGAGAGAGAGAGGTGCACCATAGTGGCAAGCAGTGTGATGGGGTGGGGAGGGTGGCAGGAGGGAAAACTGGGACCATTGGTGGTGGGAAATGTACACTGGTGAGTGTCAGAACATTATATGACTAAAATCTAATCATGAATAACTTTGTAAAATAAAATAAGATAAAGGAAATGTCAAGATCATCTGGTTGCAAGATCTGTAAAACTGGCTAATAAATTCTGTAATCAAAATGCATAAAATATCTTTGAAAATATGAAGATTTGTTTCCTCAAGCCTGTTATGGAGAAATATACCACTAAATATATATGCATGCATATATGTATATATTTTATTTTTTCAGGGCTATACTTCAGCTTTATTTCCATATATCCAAGCTCGATTTTAGCAGCTCTCCCAAGAGTCACATGAATCTGCCTGGGAACTGCATATAGAGGGTGAGATGCCTCTGACGGAGCTTAAACTGGAGGAACTGAGCTTTTCTTTATCACCAGTGGGGGAGCTCAGACAGGAAGAGGCCCCTGTGCTCCCTGGAGGGAGAAGAGGGAGACGTGGGCACCAACTCCCAGTGGTTCCTCAACAATGTCACAGTGCTCAGAGCTCCTAAAATTTGTATAACAAGCCATTTTTCACTATACAAAATCAGGACAGGAGGAAGCTATCCATTAGCAGGGAGCTAGACTGATAGTCATGTTCTAAAATGCCTGTTATCCAACAGTGCTCCAACTAAAGAAAGAGTTCTGTGCTGAAAGCTGTGAGGCCCTCAGAGTGAGCAAAGGCTCAGCAAAGACACAGTGAGAGGCTGACAGTAGCGAGTTCCTCACATCTCTGGAGGATACTAAAGTTCTGAGAGAGAAGGCAGGAAACAGGGACCAGCCTCCTGTGCTCTGCCTCATCTGCTTCTGAGTAAGCATCTGTAAGGAAAAGCATAAACTGTCTGGAACCTGTGTACCAGCCTGCCCTGTGTCCATGATCCTTTTCAAGCCCTCCCACTTACCCCCTTTATCAAAGGGAGTGGGCAAAGCTGTTGAGTCAGAGTGGCAAGCCACTTTTTTTTTTTTTTTTGCTTTTTGGGTCACACCTGGCGTTGCACAAGAGGTCACTCCTCATTCTGCACTCAGGAATTACTCCTAGCGGTGCTCAGGGGACCATATGGGATGCTGGGAATCGAACCCGGGTCTTCCGTGTACAAGGCAAACAACCTACCCGCTGTGCTATCGCTCCAGCCCCAACACAAGCCACCTTAATTTTTTTTTATTTTATAAGGTGGTTCACAATATTTGATTATAGTTAATAGTCAAACACCAAATCCCACCACCATTATACCTTCCCACTACCAAATCTGGGATGTTTCCATCTCAAACCCCAATCCCTGTCCCAAAGCATAACCGAAATAACATATTTTGTATTGTCTCTTATGGAAAAACCGCTGAAAATGCTATGAAATAAGTATCCATAGAGGAGACAGTGTGAAGATTGTTCTATTTTTGGCAGGGGACATTAAGGCATTCTTTAAAATATCACTAACATGTTGTTAAAAGTTGAGTGATGTGAGTTTTCATATATATATATCTGAAATTATGTATATATGCATATATATACATTATATATCTATCCCTCTATGATTTGTTGCCTATTATCTGAAGCCCATAAAATGTGGTGTGATACTTATGGAGAATGGGTAGGGAGTGTCTAATGATGTGTTGTGCGGTCCAGGAATACGTTTACTACTCATACATGAGGCTTGTCCAGAACATGAGGGGAATGGCCTTGAGCGTGGAGGCGGATGGGTTCTGGAGGTTTTTGGCTGTCAGGGCTGGGTCTCTTGGGATGGGGAGGGCTCTCACCTGCCCCCCTCTGGGGCATCCCGAGTGAAACAGCCTGGCACAGAGTCCAGTGACAGGCCACTTTTTTTGCAAGGGGCTTCTTCCAAGGCTCCAGGGCCTATCCCTGCTCCATCTGCCTTTGGGGGAAGGTTGGGGCCAAGTGCCTTAGGATCTGAGCTGCAGGTATGTGTACAGCTGAATGCCACCAGCTAGCTCATCCACTAGCCTCATTTGGGCATCTGTGAAGTGGGGCATGGGCCCCAATCCTATTCATTAGGAGGCGACAACCATGAAGGAGTCAGACCGTGACAGAGCTAAGGTGCAGTCAAATATATTTTTGATATGGCAACTGAGCAGAAGCATGTTGTATTTGCAGAAATGTTTACTTTTAAGAAGGCTTTAATTGAAGAAATCTTTTATTTGACAAAATATATTTGCAGTCATTCTTAAGATTCATATGGGTGAAGATAGGATATCTTTCACCTAGCACAGAAGAAGGATGCTTTATTTTGGTGAGAGTAAAGACTATGGCATTATTTTAAAAGTTGTAATTGTATGTGATTGCAATGAAAAATTGTGAGAAAGGTGATATATACAGTGTCAAAGAAATAAAAACATAAATGACATGGTTTATGGTCTGTGGAGATGAATAGTCATACCATTGCTCCCAAAATACACGCACTGGAATCTTACTGAAATTATAGGAGATTTAGTTTATGTTCTTGATGCTCTGCCTTAAGATACGAAGCCTTGACATGACCACATCCCAATCGGCATAAGCTCCTTCTAAGTGGCGGGATATTTCAGTTCCTGCTTCATAGCTGCGTCGGCCATGAAGTAAGCGCCAATTATCAAATATAATCACATCACCTAGACAAAAAAAAAGGGTTTGGCATGAATAATCTTGGGTTTGAATGATCTGCAAAGGTAGAAAATGCCAACTTTCATTGCTACTTAGTCCATATCATGAAACAGTATGCTCGGGCTAGAAAGATAGTACTGGGTTAAGGTACATACCTTGCATATAGCAAATCAACTCTGATTTCTGGTATTGTATGGTGCCTGGAACACCCTTGGATGTACCCTTAGAGGTTCTCTGACATCCCACACAGCATTGGGGCTGGGCCTAGAAGCTTCCAAGCATCTCAGGGGTAACCTTGGTAGTCCCTGGAAGTTTTTCCTCAGGCCCTCACTTTGAAATTCTGGCTGACTGGCCAAAAATCACCTGCAAGGACCCTGGACTTCCTGAGCACTGTCTCAGTGCCTTCTCCCCAAATCAACAAGCCAAACAAAACCTAATATGCTTCTTCACATAAAAATATATGCACATAAAAAAATTAAAAATATAGATATACTTTATATAATAAATATATACATATACCCTTGCATATATATACACATATAGTTTTACATATATACACATTGTAGCTCATATATATACATAATAGCAGCATGCATATATATGTGTGTGTATATGTATATACATATCATATACGTATATGCATATACATATACATATATATGAAATCAGACAATTCAATGTACTTAAAATTTTACTCCCCCCACAGTTATGGGGCTTAAATCCAGGGTCTTATACACACAAGGTAGTCACTCTATTACTGAGCCACATATTTGGCCCTGCTTTAAGCTTTTAAAATTTAATCTATGTAGTCTACCAGGCTCCTATAGAAGCTATTATAATTCACACTAAAATATTGCTAACTAAAGCAAATTAATTTTTATTTCTGATCAATATCTCTTAGAAATATTATTTACAGTTTAAAAGCTTCAAGTAATTGAAGGGGAGTGATATGCTTGTTTTGAATTTCATGTACCCTATATGTAAGTTTGATAAAAATCCCGTGAGGTGGGTGAAAAGATAATGATAACTCAAAGGGCTGACACACACAGGGTCCCAGGTATGGTCACAAGCACTGCATGGCTCCCTAAGCTCTATCAGTATAGCCTTGGTGACCCCAACCACTGATAGTGAGAGCCCTTCAAACAAAATAAAATAATAAAGCAGAACAGAAAAACTACCTGGAAAAAAAGTTTTAATTTTTTTCATACATGAGAAAAAATGAGGGCTAGCACAACGGCTAGGGTGTTTGCCTTGCATGGGGCCGAACTGGGTTTGATTCCTCCGTCCCTCTCGGAGAGCCAGCATGCTACAGAGAGTATCCCGCCTGCATGGCAGAGCCTGGCAAGCTTCCCGTGGTGTATTCGATATGCCAAAAACAGAAACAACAAGTCTCACTTCGTGTTCCTGGAGTGCGCAGACTCCATTGGACTACACTAGCATATGACAGGGATGAATGGAGATGTTACTGGTGCCCGCTTGAGCAAATCAATAGAACCACAGAACGACAGTGCTACAGTGCTACATGAGAAAAATAAGGCTATGAAAAGTTGAGAGATCTTCCCCTCAACTACACTGTTATTACATGGAGAATGGATTCCAACTCTTTTCTTCCCTTTGCATTATTTTCCCATGGAAATTCTATTTTACTTACTACTGCTTTAAAAATAAATCTGTTGTGATTGATAGCGATAGCCTCATGGAAACTTCAGTGTTACTTTATTATTTCAAAGATGATTTATCAATAAACTCAAGTGAAATCTCACTGACCAAATCAACAGCAGAAAAAAATAAAGATTTTTTTGCTGTAACTATAAAAATATCTACAAGTTTGATGTCACTTTACTGAGTAGAGATTGTTCAGAAAAAACAGAATGAATTCTTCTCTATTCTAAACATTTGGAATATTTAACATGCCTGAGATAGGCAGTAATATCTCTTCCAGATCAGGTAAATTTAATTAATAATTATTATTCACTTATTATAGAGAGATAATTAGGAGATGACTATATTTGTTTACCAGGGTAGAAAAATAAATGTCAGTTTACACTGATTATCTATCAGGATAGAACACATAAGTTCTCAGTCTCCATATTGGACATGAAATTTTACTTGATCTATAACCTTTCTTCAAGAATTGATTCCCACTCCCTTTCTCCACCCCAATATTCTGGCATAGATTTTTAGATATGGTGTGCTTAAGGGTTACTTAGCAGCTTGTTTCAATGTTTTTAAAGTCTAGAGAATTGGAGCCAAAGAAATAACTCAATAAGCTTAATAACATATTAACATTATAACAGATTAATAACTCAATAACATATTGGAAGTCTAGGTCCAATGCTTGGTTCCTCCAAACACCACTGGGAATGACACCCTAGCTAGAGACAGGAGTTACGCAGAGAGCTACTGTCTCTCGACACTCCCAGATATGTTGAAAGCAACAACAAAACAACCCATCCCCAAACAAAACCAAGAAAAATCTGGAAAACCAATTTATTACGGGTGGGCCAGAAATTTGCTCTTTATGGTACAGAGGATAGGGCTTTTGCCATGCACATTATCCTGTTTTGACCTCAGACATTGTATATGTTCTGCTGAACATCGCCAGGAGTGATTTCTGAGCACAGAGCCAGGAGGTACCCCTGATCATCGCTAGGGTGGCCCCAAAACAAAACAAAAAACCAAAAACAAGAATAAAAGGAAAAGAGAAATTTGCTTTTTAAGCTGGTTCAGAGTTCCTCAAGATTCTCATCTAAGAGATCTGTAAACCATACTTAAAAACTGCTTAGAAAATTCTCTTTCATGTTAAATGATAAAAGTTCCATTCTTTACATTTGGGAAAATGCTCACCTGGATTCATCTTGAAAGTAAATTTGAAGTCTTTGCAGTTCATGAGGTCAACAAACTCCTTCAAAGCAGCATAAAATGGTTGAACTCTTTCCACAGGTACATCAAATATTGTGTCTCTAGTAGCATTATTGAAGTTGATGCGAACCACTTGACCTTTATCATCTAATCTAAAAATTTTTAGGAGTAAAAGTTAAAGTGTTTAAGTCACAAGATTTTACATTTAGAAGGTGAATTGTTTTCAGGAAGTTTCTGGAATATAGTATTAAAGAATTAAAATAAATGTACAAAAGACATAAAGATTATCTAGCATGATATTCATTTGGTTTTTATTCACTCATTTGGAAAACTCTTTTTTTTAAAATTTTAAACAGGGTTAATCCTCTACAGGGCTGGAGCAATAGCACAGCGGTAGGGCGTTTGCCTTGCACGCAGCCAACATGGCCGACCTGAGTTCGATTCCTCCGCCCCTCTCGGAGAGCCCGGCAAGCTACCCAGAGTGTCTTGCCCGCACGGCAAAGCCTGGCAAGCTACCTGTGACATATTCGGTATGCCAAACACAGTAACAACAAAGTCTCCAATGGAGAAGTTACTGGGCCCGCTCGAGCGAATCGATGAACAACGGGAGAACAGTGACAGTGGACAGTGACTCAAAGCCAGGATCCTAAGGCTCTAAAGTTAAGAGCCTGGGCTAACACTGCTCAGGGGACACTAGTTCTATATCTGCTGCTTCTTGGAATACCATGCAATCCAGGGCACGGAATTCAAGGCTACACATTCTAGGAGTGTATTTGTGAGTTGGTTCCCTGGCCCAGGCAAGTAATTTTGAAATTTTTCTATATAGATGCCAGAATGATTCAAGTCAATGTAAAACAAATGTTACTGAGAGGGGTTATTTAAAAAATATTCTAATATGTAGGGAAATAATTAGTCTTTGTTATTTAAAAATAGATTTGGCAGGGCTAGAGCAATAGCACAGTGGTTAGGGCATTTGCCTTGCACATGGTCAACTTGGGTTCGATTCCCAGCATCCCATATGGTCCCCTGAGCACTGCCAGGACTAATTCCTGATTGCAAAGCCAGGAGCAACCCCTGAGGATCGCAAGGTGTGACCCAAAAAGCAAAAAGAAAAATATTTGGCATAATTAAAATATTTTTATATTACATATTCAGAGCTCCGCTTGTGCATATGTTTCATCTATTGGATTTTCAATTTTGACTTGTTGAGAGCTTAATTGGACAGAAAATAAAGTTATTCTTTGAACATTTGAAATGCATTGCTTTTTAACTCAGTATCTATTTTACAGGAGACAGTGGGACAAGTTCTTTGTATCTTTATACCTATGCTATTTATTTTAGTGTGTAGACTTCAAAATACTGTATTTCCTTTAATGCTGCACTCCCAGCATTAACACAGAGCCTGGACATAGAAGGTCATTATTAAATATTTGCTGAATATGCAACTCTTTATATTTTTAGTACCTTTGGAGAGTATATGGATCATGAACCCAACAATATAGAAGAATACCATTTATAAAGTAAGAAATCATAGCACTACTGATTAATTTAAGCTATGATGATTACATATAGCAATGCATGAACATTGTATAGACATAGAGGAAAAACAAAGATACAAATGGAGTTGGACTTTCAATTAGTCATAAATCACCAAGTGACATCACCTATTCTCTAAGTAGAACCAGGAGGGATTGATAAGAACTGAAGATAGGGAAGGGTTGTGGTTAAGTGCTTGAGATTATTCCTGGGTCAGCCAGGAAGTAGAATTTGAACTAACAACTCTCATCCCAAACTGATGGATCAAATAAAAATTCTACATGTTCAAGTCTTTGGTGAGACTGATGGTGTGGAGAGTGTGTGAATTACTTTTAGCTGAGCACTCACAAGTCACAAGTCATAGAGTATGTTATTACTATTAAGTTAGGGGCAGAAAACTGGATGTGACTGCGTGGGGGGTAAAAATTGCAACTGTTTGTGCCTTGTTCTCTGTGCCATGTGCCTTGGGTCGATGTTGAATCATGATCCACTGTAAGACCTAAGACCATGGTAAACTCTAAGAATTGATTAGCAGCAATTCTCTCATTCTAAAGAATGACTGAAGCTACCTGTTGAATCAACATAGGGAAAGAAAATAAAAAGAAGGAATAGATTTTGCAAAAGATCCTAGATTCTTAAAACCTGAAAATGGGCAAAGACAAATGTACATATATAATAAAAATATAAAAATGGGGTGCTGGAGAGATAGCACAGTATGCAAGGCACTTGCTTTGCCTGTGGCTTACCAGGTTTGATCCCCAGCACCCCATTTGGTCCTCCAAGCTCCAGCAGGAGTGAACCCTGAGCACAGAGTCAGAACTAAGCCCTGAACATGGCTGGATGTAGCCCCAAAACAAACAAAAATATTAAATGAATTAGTATTCAATGAAGTGACTTCTTTAGCCAATCACTTCTCCCCCACCCCATCTTCTCAACAAGAATACTTTGTGATCTACAGTTAGAATATGAGTACATTGCTGGTTAGGGACCCCTTTAAAAAAAGGCCCTAAAAAGGCCCTCCCGTTGATCGTCGATTTGCTCGAGCAGGCCCAGTAACGTCTCCATTGGAGACTTTGTTGTTACTGTGTCTGGCATATCGAATACGTCACAGGGAGCTTGCCAGGCTCTGCCAAGATACTCTCGGTAGCTTGCCGGGCTCTCCGAGAGGGGCAGAGGAATCGAACTCGGGTCAGCTATGTTGGCCGCTTGTAAGGCGAACACCCTACCGCTGTGCTATCGCTCCAGCCGATAGCACAGCGGGTAGGGCGTTTGCCTTGCATGCAGCCAACATGGCCGACCCGAGTTCGATTCCTCCGCCCCTCTCGGAGAGCCCGGCAAGCTACCGAGAGTATCTTGGCAGAGCCTGGCAAGCTCCCTGTGACGTATTCGATATGCCAGACACAGTAACAACAAAGTCTCCAATGGAGACGTTACTGGGCCCGCTCGAGGGACCCCTTTAACAGTTTCTAAATCTATAAGAAACTTTGCCTTTTAATTTTAGATGTCAAATTCCAGTTCTACTGTTCTGACCCATTTTCTATCCTTTTTCTGTATCATTTTCTATATATGTCAGTTATATCCTTTTTTGCCGTTCACTATGTTATTGGTAAGGCTATGATGAGTTTGAAACTTTTGAGGTTTATTCTATTAGTCACACTCTGGGTGATTATTTTTTCCTTTTGGGAGGCAGTTTCTCAGATGATTCTCAGTGGACCCAGAAGCTACTCTTGGCAATTATCAGTCAACAGGCCCCTACAGTTGAAGACTAAGGCCTTAGGATGCATTGGTGTTTGGGCCCTGCAATGTGAGAGACCACCAGACCATCTGTTAGTGTTGAGGGTCTCCAGGGCCACACCCGAATATGCTTGAAGAATCATGCTGTGCAGATCAAACCAGTTCCCACATAGACCAGATTCTCACCCTGACCGTGGTACTATCTCACCAGTTCAAATTTATTTCTTTTATCCCTATAACTCCTTCATGTGAATGTTACCATCTATCTTTCTATCTTTCCCAGAATCTATATGTTTCTTCACATACGAGTGAAATGAACCTTGCAATTCGTTATTTTAATGAAATTACAGTTATGTGTCCCACAGTACAGGGTATTTCTTCCTTTCTTTTTTCTTTTCTTTTTTTTTTTTTGGTTTTGGAGCCACATAAAGTGGTGCTCAGGGGCTAATTTCATCTCAGCACTAGGGTCTTACTCCTGGAATTTCCCCTATGGCTATGCTGTGCCAGGATCATGTACCTGGACTCCAACATGCAAAACCACCCTTTAAGCTACTTCTTATAGTGTATTAAGCTTTCATTTCTAAAAGTTCATTTCTAAAAGTCTCCTGCCCCCATGCCTGGCTGTCCTCACCTGGGCCCCCTGGAGGGGGAGGTGGGTTGAGTTTGCCTTCTTGCCCAGAGCAGAGCCCAGGCAGCTGAAGACCTCTGGTTCCAGCCACAGCCATGCTTAAGACCACTCTCCACATGTTCGGATGAGCCTCACGCATGAAGGAACTGGAAGAGGAACCCAAGTGTGCAGGACCCGGGGTGTAGATCTCCAAGCCTGCTCGGATTGGGACTGGGGCCTCCTCCACCCAGATCCCCCATTTTCCAGGTGATACACCCACCAACTGCCCCCAGCGCCATGTAATCCCATCAACAGCCAAGACCCAGAGACTATTAAAACCCTGCTCCAGGAAGTGCGCGCGACATCTTATTATCTAGGTCTAAGGACAGTGACAGTGATAAACCACTAGCAAGACTCACAAAGAAAGAGAGAAAGAGAACCCTAATAAACCGAATCAGAAATGAAAAGGGGACATCACAACAGAAACCAATGAAATTTAAAAGATTGTCAGAGACTACTTTGAGAGTCTGTTTGCCATGAAACATAAGGACCTAGAAGAAATGGATAAATTCCTGGATTCCTATAATCTCCCAAGATTGAACCAAGAAGACTTGGGATACCTGAATAGACCCATTCATATCAAGGAAATTGAAGCAGTAATCAAAAGTGTTCCAAAAAACAAAAGCCCAGCCCCAGACGGATTCACTAGTGAAATTTTCCAAACATTTAAAGAAAATCTTTTGCCGGTTCTCCTCAAGCTTTTCCAGAAAATTGAAAAAAAAAAAACAGGATCCCTCCCAAAAAGCTTCTATGAGGCGCATATTTCCCTAATAACAAAAGCAAACAAAGACACCACCAACAAAGAAAACTATAGGCCGATATTCCTGATGAACACAGATGCGAAGATCCTCAACAAAATATTAGCAAATAGAATCCAACAACTCATCAAAAAGATCATACACAATGACCAAGTGGGATTCATCCCAGGGATGCAAGGATGGTTTAACATTCAAAAATCAATCAACATAATCCATCATATCAACAAAAGCAAAGATAAAAAACATATGATCATATCAATAGACACAAAGAAAGCGTTTGACAAGATACAACACCGGTTTATGATGAAAACTCTCACCAAAATGGGTTTTGAAAGAACTTTCCTCAAGATAGTCAAAGCCATCTATGACAAGCATTATTTTCAATTGGGAAAAACTAAGGGTCTTCCTTCTAAGATCAGGGACAGGCCAAGGATGCCCACTATCACCACTTCTGTTT